CTAATTCCTGAACTTGTAGTCTTATAAATACAGTAAGATCGGTAGCGATAGCGATTTTGTTGTTTAAAGGAAATGTGCAAGATTCGTGATCGAACTGGTAGTCTTATAAATACAGTAAGATCGGTAGGGTAGTCTACGGAAAGATAAACAAATATTGTTTAAGTTAAGTTACCTTTGAATTCCGCTGAAGGTTTTGGAGTTGATGGTCTATCATGTTCACAAACTTCGAAGTGCTCTCGAAGGCCAAGTTGAGGTGAATCACTTCCACCACTGTTAGAATCCTCGTCGGATGATAACTCTCCAGAAAGCTGCCAAATCTCAGTATTTGGATTATAATACAAGGARCGATGTAGTCTGTAAGTGCGATCATTCACAAATTGATTGCAGTGTTCACAAAGGCGACGCTTTCGATCCATTGTTGAGAATATAAATAACTACCCGAYCAGTYACAGAAATTATTTGCAAGATTAAATTGAGCCCTGGTGACTTCTGGTCTGCGGACACACTCCCGATATGGAAATTGTGATCTTTGAACCTAGAGCATGAGCTCACGTATTTCATTTGACCAATCAAAATTCTTATTAGGTGACAACACGTRAACTTATGTAAACAGTGGCAGATTCAAAGCTCGGGAGAGCCACAATTCGACCTCTTTTGAACGAACGTCGAAGCTAGCAACGTCWACATTGTATATCGCAACTTTATTTGTTTTAAAATGGTTCGATCGCAGCGAAACCGAACATCCAAAAGGAATGATGCAGCTAGAAATCCTTCTCCGGAAGGAAACCTAGGAGAACCTTCTTGTTCTACTCCGAATACGAGCCAAACTCGAGTAGTTTCTACATTGACCGAATCACCGGAAACACTTCAAAGAACGGTTGGCAGTGGTTGTAGCCGCAGACTCCCTATCCCCATAACGCCAGAATCGAGTGTTGCTTCTGGATCGGCTAGCCCAGAACCAAGCGAGTTACGTGTGGAAGAAGTAACCACCGATGAAAGCTCAATRCCACTCGACGATTATGCTGACTTCAAGGCATATCAAACAGCCTTCAATGACAAGTTGTGGGCGTACATCACAGACAAAGAAAAGGCCATCAGCAACCACAAGACTGGAAAGAAGGAGCCTTTACCATTAAAGCTAACGGTATGAATTCCTAGATTTGATTTACTCTCGAGACAAAATATAAATTTTGCCCGTTTTGTATTCGAGATTCGGGGCTTTTAGCCATGCCATGTGCTTTTGTTTGTTTTGTTTCCCGCTCTTTTTTATAAGCCTTTGTCTTAAAATCCTTTGTCGTAACCTTAGTTTACTTGTATGGTTGTAAATGTAATTTCTATTGGCACGAAAGGTATTTCAGTGGTTATTGTTTTCAGTTACGCCAGTATGTCCCAAGGTAATTACTGATTGGTCACGAACTCTTACTTAAGAGTTTGCATAGATTACACATATTCACTCTCTCGCAAGTAGCTAACGAGTTTACTACCAAGACGAGCTGCAATGTCGGATGAAGAAGATAGAACACCAAGAACTAAGTCTCCATTAATCGGGAAAGAAAGGTCCCTTAGAAAGAGCAAAGAACAAGAGATACATACCGTGGTGGACCCAGTCGCTGGTACGAGCGCGGATAATACGTCGTCAAATCCTGAATTTGTTCAACAAGTCTTTGGGCTATTCAAAGATTATCTTGCCACACAACTAAATACCCAAGGAAAGAAGCTCGAAAGCAAGCAGAAGATTGACAAAGAAACTGTGGAGCTGAAATACAAAGGCAATCAAAAGCAATTCAGAGTGAATGCCGAATTAGAGAGTATCTTAGAGCAGATACAGACTGCCAACGAGAACGGGGCTAACGATCAAAGCATCACAAACCTGGTAAAAGAAGGGAAAAAGATCATCCACAAGCGCCAAAAGCTGATTAAAATTGCGGACAAGTGCAAGGACGGTTGGCAAGTCGTCGAAGAATACGAATCTGACGAGTTGGCGTCTGATTCTGAGGACGAGAAAAAGTTGAAAAAGGCAAAAGAAGCCGCCGGAAAGAAACGTAAAGCGAAAGAGCAGAAGCGATACGATGATAAGAGGCAGAAACCGCTTAATAGCGGCTCTGATATGCAGCTTTTTCGTGGTAAGGCTATTATGCATTTACTTTTTGTGGCGGGAATACTTTGTGAGTTCTCATGCTACTCTGCTAGAGTATCCATCCTATACTGTTGTAGTTTTATGTCTGTTACAGGGAGTATAAAGAGCAAATTAATTTACGTTCGTTTGAACGAAGTGAATTAGAACGTAAATGTAATTTCTATTGGCACGAAAGGTATTTCAGTGGTTATTGTTTTCAGTTACGCCAGTATGTCCCAAGGTAATTACTGATTGGTCACAAACTC